CAATAGCCCCTCTGGGATAGGGGCTTGAGAACCAATATTTAAGCAAAATCCTCAAGTGATTCTTTACATTAGGTAAGTTTGGGAAATGCTGGTTGCAGCATCAATGTCCAAACTCTTTTTGCCCAACTCTTTGAGAGCCATTCAAATCTGATTCTACTCATTTAAAGTCATCCCAGTTAAATCTGTGCATGTGTTTTTCCCCTAATGTTTCTTTTATGGTCAACCTTTCTTTCTACTGTCTAAATTTTAATTTTTCAAAGGTCATTTTAGTCCCCTCTCCTCTATTAACGACATAATTTAACAATCAGTTATTCTCTATTAAATACATTCTTATATATACTCTACTTCTGCAGTCCCCAACCCCAAGGCCGCAGACCTGTTTTGGTCTGTTGGCCTGTTACGAACTGGGCCACATAGCAGGAGGTAAGTGGGCAGGCAAGCTAGTGAAGTTTCATCTGTATTTATAGCCACTCCCCATTGCTCACATCACTGCATAAGCTCCGCCTCCTTTCAGATCAGTGGTGGCATTAGAATCTCATAGGAGTAAGAACCCTACTGTAAACTGTACATGTGAGGGATCTAGGTTGTGTACTCCTTATGAGAATCTAATGCCTGATGATCTGAGGTGGCAGTGATGCTAGTGCTGGGAAATGGCTGCAAATACAGATTATCGTTAGCAGAGAGGTTTGACTGCATAATAAATGTAATGTACTTGAATCACCCTGAAACCATCCCCCTTCAATCCCCCTTAACCTCCTACCCCCTGGTCCATGGAAAAATTGTCTTCTATGAAACCAGTACCTGGTGCCAAAAAGGTTGGGGACCTACTGCTCTACTTTGTTTTCCTAAATAGACTGTAACTGGGAGTTACTCTCTGTTTCTTATATGATATATTAATTTAATGTTTCTGATTAGATTGTAAACTAGGAGTAGAGCCTGTATCTTTTATGAGCTTGGAACATAAAGTTCAAAAATAAAATTTATTGGCTCATGTGTAAAACGTCAAATATGTAGTTGCCAAAGACAATTATTTCAAACAGTAAACTATTTTAGCTCTAAAAATTAATTTTCAAATAGGGCTGCTAATTCAGTGAGCCATCCTTTTACCATAAAAGGTAGAGCTTCTAAAATCTTACAGATTTAAAAAATAACTACATCCTAGAAGGCCCTTTTAACTTCAATCACTGAATGTCTGACATTTTGCTGTTTATCCTTATGTACTTTTAACCGATGCTGTTTAACTTTTTATTAAACTAGATATTTCCTTATATGCCAATATAGATCTATAGCTATATGCATATTTGTATATATTATGGCTGTATAGTATTCTATTTGGGGAGGTAAACATTATAATCTATTTTTTAAAAAAATACTCATAAAATGCCTACTATGTGTCAGGTACTATTCCAAGCACTATATATATCCTAACTCATTCAATTTTCATAAAAACTTTATGAGGTAGGTATTGTTATATAATATAATCTATATTAATAATACCTATTTTATAAGCATTAGCCAGAAGTGGGGAACCTGTGGCTTATAAGGCCACATGTGGCCTTCTAGGTCCTTAAATGCAACCTTTTGACTGAATCCAAATTTTACAGAATCCTTTTATTTTTATTAATACATTTTGTTCATCTTTCATATTTTTATTTTTAAAGTGAATGTATTTAAAGTACCAAAGAATAAAATAAGTTTCAACAAAATAATCCTCCCAGATTGACCAGCACAATTACATTAGTGAGCCATAAGGGCTAAGTTGATGGCTGCTATGCTCATAATTTAGTTCTAACTTCCCCTGACTGGCGCCACTACTACTTGAGGCTGGTTGGCAAGAGTTTATAGGGGTCGAGTATGCCAGTCTGTTATTGGCTTTTGACAATGGTGCACTGTGTTTCTGTTTGAAGACAAAACAAAATGACTTGTGGAATTTTGTGAACAGTTGCACAGCTCGATGGTATTTTTTAATTCTATCTGCTTAACAGCCCATCATATCAAAGAAGACCAAGAGAACGCTGAAGGAAGAAAGCAGATATTTTAAGATGGAGAATTGCAATATTATCTTGTTTCTGCTAAAGATAAGATGATTCAATTGCTTTGTGATACTGCAATATCAACATTAAAGAAATTCAATGCTCATCAGCATTATAACACTCATAAGGACCACAAATATTTTAAATTAGAGGGAGAGGTACAAAAGGTTATACTATAAAAATTAAAAGATGATAAGGAAAAGCTAAGACAATTCTTGCAAGCGGCAATAAGACCTGGAAATAATGCCATTGAAGCAACTTACCAAAGTAACTTATACATTCAGGAGGAAAAAAGGGAAGCCATTTAGTGACGTAGAAATTGTGAAAGGAAGCACTGTAGAAGTTGCAGGATGCTTAGACCCCAATCATGGTTCAAAGTACAAACAACTACCTCTATCAAGGAGAACTATAACTGATTGGCAGCATGAATTAGCCTGTAACTTAACAGAACAACTTCATGTAATACTTCAAAAGGAAAATATGTATTAATCATTTTGGATGAATCAACTGATACTAGTGACTTGGCACAGCCAGTTTTATACTTTTTTATACAATTTTATACTTCATTTGGGTCATAGCAGAAGATTTTCTTTGCTATGGAGAGTTACTCGCTTTGGGCACTTTTGCAAACAGAACACAGGGAATAGATATTTTCAATAACTTTCAAGATAAATGTTGTGAAGTTGGGCTGAATTTGGTAAAATTAGTGAGTGTATATGTATAGACAGATGGTGCACCTTTCATGATAGGAAAATATGAAGGGTTTATTGCACAGATAAAAAAAGTAGTAAGAGATGCAGATGCTCCCATTCCTTTTCATTGTATCTTGCAACAGCAAAATCTCTATGCTAAAGCTACTATTTTACATGACAATTTGCAACAAGTTATAAGCATTGTTAACTATATTTGAGCAAATGCAACATGGCCTCATCAGTTTTGCAACATGCTAAAGTTAAATGATGAGGTATTCAGTGTGGATTTACCATATCATTCTAAAGTGCATTGGCTATTGCAGGGACAGATGTCAGCCAAAGTTTTATCTCTGTAAGAAAAGATAGTTAAATTTTATGAAGAACAGACTCTGCAATGTGAATTATTGAAAGACAATTTCTATAGGAATGCAGCATTTCTATATGATATCATGTCAAAACAAAATGACTTGAATATTTCTTTGCAGGGTAAAACTAATATATGATATGTGGCAAAAAATTCAAGCATTTTGAAGAAAAGCTATCTTTTTTCAAAACATTACTTCTTCAAAAAGAAATTTTGGATGAACATTTTCCCCAGTTAGCAAATGTCATTGGTGAGCAGGATATATGCAAATCATCTGAAGAATACACAACTATTATAGACCTATTAACTGGAGAATACAATGAAAGTTTCATTGAATTTCAGAATCATGACATCACAAATTATTAATAGCATTTCAGCCTCACATAGTTGATATCACCAAAGCATCTAAAGAACTACAGATGGAACTGATTGAGCCCTCAGTAGATGACAATTTAAAATTTCAGTGTGATGTTAAGAAAGATCCGACTGAAATACAGAAAAATGCAGTATCCACACCTTCGGAAACATGCCTGAGAAATGCTTTCTTGCTTTTCAACCACTTATTCTTGCAAATCTATGTTCTCCTACCTAACCCAACTCAAGATGCCCTTAAGGTCACAAATGACTGATACCCATCTAGAAGATCAACTGAAACTGAGAACCTCCATGCTGCAACCAAATATTCAAATGCTTTCCAACAAAAAGCAGATACAACAAAGTCATTAAAAGATTAGCTAACTTTAAAATTAACAAATAGTTTTCATTTTCTGAAGTTATTAAGTACATAGTTAGATTTTTACCAGATAATGTACATTTTAAAGAATATCTAATTGAAGTTTCTTGCATGCAGCCTTATTTGATTATAGCTAAATTAATTCGGTCTTCCAACATGAAAAGGTTCCCCACCCCTGGACATTAGCAAACAGGCAGAGAGAGGTTAAATAGCTTGCCTAAAGTTACATAGCTACTGAACAACAGGGCAGGGATTCTAAATCAGGCATCTATGTATCTCTGTAGCTCCTCAGTCTGTGCTCCTAACCACTAAGTACTTAAATCACTAAGTATTAATACATGGCCCCTCAGAATTGACGGTTCCCTCTATATGAAGGGTGGTTCCTTTTGCCTGAGATGCTAAATACTCTTTGCATGGCTGTAACCTTCTTCTCATTTACATTACGCTTCCTCAGAGGAGCCCTTCCTGACCATTTAACCTAAAGTAATTCTTTAGATTCTTATCAGAATATTGAATTTAATTTTCATTCCAAACTTATAAATACCTGTTATTTTCTGATTTATTAGTTTTCTCTGTGTCATTCCCAATATAACAAAAGTAAGGACCTTTTCTGTCTTGTGTTCTTAGAGCCTAGAACAATGCCTGGCACAGAATAAGGGCACCATAAATAAGTTTATCTTACCCATCACTGATGAACATTTAGGGTTGTTTCTAATCTTTAACTACCATTAATCTTTGCAAACTTGCCTTATCACTTTCTTATTATAACTTATTGGAAGTTAAATTTCTAGGTAAAAGGATACGCATGTTTTTCAGGCTTTTGATACATATCATCAAATGGCTCCCCAAAAAGGTTGCTCTATTTATCAACAGAGGCTTAAAAACCTGATAAACTATGTTTAATGTATCTTACTTTTAAAATTAAGTTAGTAGGGCCTTTGGCTGGAAAAATAAAAATTTTATCCTATTACACAGCATTTCAAATTCAATATATGTGATAAGAGTTTCCCATTAATCATATTTTGGGAATGTGCCTTAGTCTAGGGAGGAAAAAAAAAAAACCAAAACACAAATAAAACAAAATAATATCCAGAGAAAATAAAGAAAAATGTTATTTTTATCTTTGTCCTTAATATAAATTCTAAAACAAATAAGTCACATCTATGTCTAGTGCCTACCTGAGCCGTCAGTGGGAACCGAACTTGCATTGATTCCAGAAAGACCAAACAAAGGACATTCTCGATCTGTGTTGACATGACCCCATTTGTGACATTTAATACACCTCACATTTCGAACCTGAGAAATAGTGAACATTTGATTACTAAACTACTACTACTAAGAATCTAACCAATGTTCAACTTCCTATTCCTTCATAGAGTTTAAGTTAAATTACATTTTTAAAATATCTTCAGGGAAAGAGACTCTATAACTATGCTTGATAATTTCATTCAAACACTAAAGTCTTTCACTATAAATTCTGCCTAAAAGCTAAGCTGAATTCTATTTCTTTTTGCCTCTTACTGAGTGGCAATATATACTAACCAAGAAGAAATGGTAAGAATTATGTGATGGATTAATTTTAAACTTTCTTATTTTATTTTTTAGGAGACAGTGGTGTGATCATAGCTCACTGCAGCCTCGAATTCCTGGGCTCAAGTTATCCTTCTGCCTTAGCCTCTCAAATAGCTAGTACTATAGGTGTGCACCACCACACACCTGGCTAATTCTTAAATTTTTTGTAGAGATGGGGTCTTGCTATGTTGTCCAGGCTGGTCTCAAACTCCTGGCCTCAAGCAATCCACCCATCTCAGCCTCCTGAAGTGCTGGGATTATAGGCATGAGCCACTGCTCTCAAATTCTCTAATTTTAATAAGTTAACATTTAAAGCTTCAAATTTCTAAACCAAGGGTTGGCAAACTTTTTCTATAAACGTACAGATAGTAAATATTTTAGGCTTTTCAGGCCAGATGCTCTGTGTTGTAAGTACTCAACTTTGTTGCTATAGTGGGAAAGCACCAAAGACAATATGTAAATGAACAAGCAAGGCACCATTGCGATAAAACTTTATTTATAGGAATTGGCCCTCCAATGATAGTTTGTCCTGGTTCTAAACAGTTTTATTCTCTCTCTCTCTTTTTTTTTTTTTAGTCCTAGTCACATGGAACCTGGAACTAAACAGTTTTAAATATTTTCTTGACCTTATGTCTCCAAAGTCTTTGAAAACTGGAGAGACCAATATTATTATAACATTCACTACAAAGGTTTGATTTCTTTTGTCAGTCTACTACATTTTATGTTTTTTCCCCTTTTCCTTATATTATCTGACAAACAGAAACCACAGTGTCCCTTTTCAGCTTAAAAATCTTTTGGACAACAATATAAAGATATATTTATTAAATACAAATATTCTTACAGAGTAAAATATATGTCACTTGCCTGAATACCAAAGGGCTGATCTCTGATGTTCATGTCATCTTTTGCATATCTATCAAATAGAGAAAATGTACAAGCATAATATTAAGAATAACTTAATAAATCGAACAGCAGTTAATCTGAAAAAGTTTTATAGTTCTAAGAACATTATGAAACTTATTACTTCAATAGGTATACAGAACTATAAAATCTAATATTTCCAAACACTATTTAGTTAAGGTTAGTCTGATAATTCGTGATTTAAAAAGAATGAAAACTTATATAAAACAAAAGACTATGTTCAAACAGATTAGTTGCATAAGTTAACTAATTAAAATCATTAAATTAGGCCAGGTGTGGTGGTGGCTCATGCCTATAATCCCAGCACTTTGGGAGGCTAAGGTGAGTGGAGTTTTTGAGGCCAGGAGTTCGAGACCACCCAGGCAAATAGCGGAGACCTTGTCTCTACACATACATATATGCACACACATACACACAAATTTCACTGGGCATGGTGACAGGTGCCTATAGTCCTAGCAACATGGAAGGCTGAGACAGAAGGATCACTTGAGCTCAGGAGTTGGAGGCACAGTGAGCTACTGTACTACTGCACTCCAGCCTGGCCAACAGAGCAAGACCCTGTCTCAAAAAATAAAAAGAATTCACTAAAATAAAATCATACCTTTCCATATTAGTAATTTTCTCTAGTGAATGAGAAGGCAATGTAAGATGGGATATCAGATAAATTTCATGATAATCTTGTCTTAAAAGTAAACTAGTCCTTACTTCTCTCGTGGGGCTCCTTTCTGCCATTCAAATTTGTATTCAGTCTCTCCTTCTGTTTCTTCTTTCTAAAAACATTCATTGAAAATTCTTTTAATTTTTCCATAAAATCACAATCAACTGCAAGTAAATTCAAACACAGAAAAATAATCCTTTACCTCTTTGTTTTCTTGATTGCATATCAAAAATATGGGGGGGAAAAGAGGACAAGTTAAAAACTTCAATATGAAAGTGTATTGTATACTATACTATGCTATTATGACATTTAATTATAATTTGGAAGAATTTATTGGTTTAACTTTTCTTCTTTCATAAGATAAAAATTCAGAACACTGACGGATACAACACAACAATGAATAAGAGACAGTACTTAATAAGCACGTTTCATTAATTCCTAATTTTAAGCTTTTATGCTGTTCATTGACAGTCATTATTATGTTTTATATTTACAAGTTTATTTAGTAAGAAGGACTAAAGATATATATACAAATTATGAAGGAATAAATGCACTTCTGCTGGTGTTGAGATTTTTTTCTTCCAAAAGGACACAACATGAAATATCGGATCAGAAAGATATTTTTAGTATTTTATTGTATTGATTACAGTATTTTAAAAATTGTCTTCACATTGAGAAGACTGTCAATTGGCAAGAAACAAATGAAAAAGAAAAAAAAATTTGTCTTCACAGAATAATAGCAATTTAAAAGATGAAGAGCAACTTTCAAAAAAATATCTGTCATAGCAGTTTTCAATCTTTAGTTGTAAACATATCAAAGGCTTTCAAAAAAGAGAATGAGACAAATACCTTTTTTAGCTCCTGGTGGGGCCTCATACATGAAATTAAGGCCATTCTTTACACGTTCATCTCCCATAAGCAATCTAAGTGAAACAAGACATAAAGTTAATAATTTTATGTAGTAGGAAAAAAATTACAGACTAATCTCCCCCCAAAAGTCTAAGAGAAATAATGTTTTTGTTAGAGATTAAGTTCTAAAACTTTACTGACTAGATGACATTTGAAATATCTGAATGGTGCTGCCTTTTTAGTAACTGGTTTTAAGTTATGAGACTTTCTTACTACCTGAGAGATCTTAGCCATACCAACAGAAAAGGAGGAAAATGTTACAGAATTTTCCTAAACTTTGCAATGCTGTGGAAATAGCAACAGCTCTGAAAAATCTATATGCCATCAAAAATCTGGAATTAAAAAATGCCAACACTTTTTCTTAATTGGGAGGAATCAAATAGTTTTGGGAAAAATGACCCCTCTGGCATTTCTTTAGGAAGTCAAACCCAATTAAGGTTTGTAAGAGTGAAAGTCAACCAGAGAATAAAATTCTTTAGTGAGGCCAGTGAAGAAAAAATAGTTTAAAGAAATTCTATAACAGGCCAATTAATATGATGGAATTAGTATCTGTGGCACCTCAAAAATCATATTCTTTACAGTTCTAACACTGAAAGTTCCCTGTATAGGTTCTGTTACAAACAGAGATACACAAGGCTTTTTGGGGAAAAAGCTCTCAAACAAATTGAATGACTGGTTGAGTTAAAGTTTTAATTCATAAGGTTTGAATGAAGTACTAATTATAAAGCAGGAGGTTAAACAGTAAATAGAATTTCCCTTTATATTTTGAAAAGGCAATCACCAACGATATTATATACTACATGATTATAATTCCTCTCTTCTTATTTCCCTTGGATTCTACAAAGAACTATTTTTAAAAACCAGCAAAAAAAGAGAGCAACCTACATCCATATAATGGAGTATTACTCAGCAATAAAAAGGCATGAAGTACTGATACATGCTACATCAGCAGTCTCCAACCTTTTTGGCACCAGGGACTGGTTTAATGAAAGACAATTTTCCACAGACCGAGGGAGAGGGGTTGGTTTCAGGATAATTCAAGCGCATTATATTTATTGTGCAGATAAACCTCTCTGCTAATGATAATCTGTATTTGCAGCCACTCCCAAGAGCTAGCATCACCGCCTCAGCTCCACCTCAGATAACCAGGCATTAGATTCTCAGAAGAAATGCACAACCTAGATCCCTCACATGCACAGTTTACAGTAGGGTTTGCACCCCTATGAGAATCTAATGCTGCCACTGATCTGACAGAAGATGGAGCTTGCAGTGATGCAAGCCATGGGGAGTAGCTTTAAATACAGATGAAGCCTCGCTAGCTCCCCTACCCACCACTCACTTGCTACTGTGCAGGCTTAACAGGCCAGTGACCAATATTGGGGGTTGGGGACTGTAGTGCTATACCATAGGTGAATGTCAAAACATTATGTTAAGTGAAAGAGGCCAGTGACAAAAGACCAAATAATGTATGATCTAATTTATATGATATGTCCAGAACAGGCAAATTCAAAGAGACAGAAAGTAGAATGGTGGTTGCCAAAGGCTGTGAGAAGGGGACTAGGGAATTCTTGTTTAATGGTTAGAGTTTCTGTTTGAGATAATGAAAGTTTTAGAAATAGTAGTGATGGTGCAAGACACTGTGAAGACACTGAATTGTACACTTAAAATGGTAAATTTTATGCTATGTATTTTTACCAAAAAACCCACAATGTAATTTATGTTGAAACAAAAATAATAATAAAACTCAAACCAGATCATTTTCCACTTCATGCAAAATTCAATAAGAATACAAAACAAAAAGTAAAGGGATGATATTGGCATTTTTGTTTTAACTTTAACTAAAACCCTGTACAAATTTTTTGCTATCTCATTAAATCTTTTTGTCTATCAAGCAGAAAAATAAATGCAAATGCAACTGTCATCTTAGGAAAAAAGTATGTAGTGATCAATATTCATAAACATTAAGAAATATCTAGGACAGTAAACATTTAAAACTAGATTACTAAAGAACAGAACTGGGAATCAAGGACAACACTTTTGAATGAGGAAGAAAAAAACACTTTGTAAATGACCAATTACTCATAAATTTGCATTCAAATGACCAAACCTAGAAGCAGTTAATATCCCAGTAGCAATGAAGACACATAGTGCCCAGATCATGATTTCTAAACATAATTCTCAAGAACACCACTTATACCCCTTAAATCTATTGAAATAAAATAATAACAATAATAAATATCATTCTCCAATAAAAGGAAACAGGGTTCCTTGGAAAACTAGTTGATTCTAGTGCTGCAACAGGAAGAAATAAAAGACAAGTCTGGACTATCTCATTGTGCCAGAAGCAGTTTTAAAAAAAACAGAGCAGTCAGATTTATTCCCCCCACGCCCCTCCCACCCTAGCAAAAAATTGAAAAAACAGGAATGGGGCACGTTAAATGGATTTAGAAGCCAACCTGGCAGAGCTGTCAATGGCCCAAACTGCAACAATTAGAACAAGAAAATAAATAACAATAGTATTACATAATAATCCAAAGAATGAAATAAATATCCATGAATCCATATTGATAGAATTAAATAACTAAATAACTAAATAAGAGAAATTCTTCCTTACAGAGGAATTCAAATTAATAAATATAGAGGGAATGAGAGAAATAGAAAATAATTAAAACACCACAGTAATAAAAACTGATGCAGACAGGATCTACCAATGAATGCTAAAATTAGTAGATAAAAGTTCAAGGAGAAATAGGGTATTTACACAGAGCTTCAAATATTAATCACAAAAGGAAAAATAGTAACTCATTGTTTTCTGAGATAAAGAATAGACATGCATAGTATGATCTGTTTCAAGCCTGCTTTTCCACTTCCCCTCTCTTTAATCCCTCTAACTCAACTACTGGCTGTTTCCTGAAAACCTCCATTTTCCCACTGCGCTGATCTTCAGTAAGTTTTCACTGTATGTAAATCAGGGCTTTTCAATAATAGTGCTATCGACATTTTGGATTAGATAATTCTTTGCCGCATGGAGTTGTCCTGTGCATTTCTGGCTGCTTTATAGCATCATTAGCCTCCAGCCACTAGATATTGGTAGCATCCCAGTCCCCAAGTTGTGACAATCAAAACTATCTTTCCTTATCATCTTCATAGTTCAGCTTAAATGTCACCTTTTTCATGAAGTCTTCCCTTGTTACCCCAAATGGAATTATTCTGTCTTATGTTAACATGCTATATATTTTTTAAGTGATGTGTGTTTTCAATACACCAGTTATATTTTACCTTGAACTCTATGTACATTTCCTTTATTAGAATTTCTTAAAGGTTGAGAGGAACTACATTTCAGACACTTTTATAGGCCTCTACAACAACATTTATTGTCTTGCATGACGTAGGTATTCAATAAAAGTTAACCAGATTTTATTCATAAAATTAGTGAGAAAGCTACTTAGGTGAACTGAGTTTCATTTCTTTAATTCTCCTCTCAATATATATTTTTTAAAGAGCAACAATAGTCTAGCACTACTTTGCTTAAATTCCATATTTTGATTAAAAAAACAGGACTTTGTGGAAAATTTACTAATCTGTTCTAGAATTTCAAATGAAAGCAAGTGTTCTTTAACTCAGAACACAGTTTATGTAATTAAAACACCACTACTCAGTTGCTTAATTAACCAAAAGAAACCAGCTTCAGTGTTAGATTTACAATATAAACATAAAATCACAATAGCTAAAGGGCAGGTACCATGCTGAAAGAAACCAACGAAGAACTCCTGCCATGATCCTGCTACTAACAGAATAATGACATGCATGTCAAATAAAGACACTTTTCTTCTTGAAGGTGTCCTATGCATCTTTTCATATGAGTGTATGTTAAAGAAATACCTTTGTAAGAGTTCTCAGCAGTTCAAGCATAGACATTTACTGTTCTTCTAAGCTTTGTCTAATTTGAGCCTTGCTCACAGACTACACATGAATGACATGAATCTATATTTTATGTGAAGTATGGGTAAGGCTGGAAAAGTGGCCATCTACAGGTATAAAAGTAAAGAAGATAGTTCACAGGGAAAGAACAGAATCTTATCTTTGGGGCATTCAATCTCAAAAAACTAACTTAATATATGATTCAGTAAGGAATCATTCTCATAAAATTGATTATTCTAAAAACACCAGCATAGTAGAATTTCTTACCTATTGTCATATGATTCTTGTTCTTTAAGATACTGTTGCATCAATTCTTCTTGTTTCTTCTTATCATATGATATTTTCTGTTCTGCCATCCATACCTAAATTAGTGAAGTTAAAAAATGTAAATTAGATAGATTTAAATTAAATAGAAGTCTGCTTTTCTTTTATAATAAAATATAAAATGCTATTGTTTACAGTTTATAACATAACCTAATTTGGTCATAATGACATCATCACAAAAATAACACCTAAGGATCTGACTCATACCTTGATACATTCAAAATAGTTAAACTTTCAGGCAAAAATGTCAAACTTGAGAACCACTCTGAGCATATGTGGTACAATAGCTTATTATGCTAAGTCTCTGCATTATTTCGGAGAACAGAACACATATCTCTCTACATGGAATATGTCTGGTCTAAATAACTCTTCAGCACATGGCACAATCAGTGGGGTTCGTTAAACAATGGCTCTGGATGCCAGTGGGTGTCACTGACACCCTAAGAGAAATGGAAGAGGAAGAAGAGAAAAAAGAGAAAAGAAATAAAGAGTAGTTATAGAAAAAAAGCAAAAAGACAAGAGAAAAAACAGTTAAGACAGAGGTGTATCAGATGTTCTGGGGTAGCTCAAGGGGAAACACCACAAGCTAAATGTGTCCCTATGTGAAATTCTCAAAATCATAAGAGTGGTGAAGACAGAAAGCCCACATAACCTATGCAAAGACATTTAATCATGTTACTTCCAGGTTTAAAAGGTACCAATACCTCCCTACCACCTTTAAAATAAAGTACAAAGTGTTTGACAAACATTCCACATAAACAGCAAGTCAAACCTTTCTATTCAAACATGCTAAGTTTTAAGAATGCCAGGCGTGGTGGCTCAAGCTTATAATCTCAGCACTCTGGGAGACTGACTCAGGAGGATCCCTTGAGCTCAGGAGTTCAAGACCAGCCTTAGCATGAGCAAGACCCTGTCTCTATTAAAAATAGATAAAATTAGCCAGGCGTGGTGGTATCCTAGCTACTTAGAAGGCTGAGGCAAGAGGACCAACTGAGCCCAGGACTTTGAGTTTGCAGTGAGCTATAATGATGCCACTGCACTCTAGCTACGGTGACAGAGACTCTCTCTCCAAAAGAAAAAAAAAAAAACTTTGCTAAGGAAAAAAACAGGCCAAGATATTACTGCCAGAAGGAACAACTTAGGCAAAGGCATAAAATAGAAAATAAGTAGTTTGATATTACTATATATAAAACTGAGAATAACAGTAGGGGATAGAGGAGAAATACGATGGAACCAATTATTAATACTTGGACTTAATCCTGTAATATTTTAATAAGGAGCTGAAAGAGATCAGATTTGTGTTTTAAAAGACTACGCCCATGTAAATAACTTATATCCATACAATGAAATATTATTCAGAAATAAAAAGGAATAGAGTACTGATACATGCTATACCATGGATGAACTTCAAAAACATTATGCTAATGGAAAGAAGCCAGTCACAAAAGATCACACACATACTGCATGATTCCACTTACATGAATGTCCAGAATTGGCAAATCCACAGAAAGTAGATTAGTGATTGCCTAAGGTTGGCAGAGAGGGGAGAGGGTTAAAGAGAAATGGGGAATGACTGCTAACAGGTATGGGGGTTTCTTTTGGGGGTGATGACAATGTTTTAAAATTGTCTGTGGTAATAACTCCATGAATATATGAAAAAACACTGGATTGTACACTTTACATGGGTGACTGTATGGTATGTGAATTTATCTCAGTAAAGCTGTTAAACAAAAAAGGACTATTCTGTTAGCTATGTAGAGAATGGATTTGAGGGAAGTCAAGACTGGAGGCAGGAAAACTAGTTAGGAAATGCAATAATCTAGGTGAAGGATGATGAGGGTCTAAACTAAGACACAGGCAATAGTGACAAAGAAGAGAGATGGATTCAAGCAAGAAGATATTTGGAAGGTAAGACCAAAAAATTTATTGGCTGACTAGATAAAGGGGTGATAGGGCAGGGATGAATCTTGAGTTTCTGGCTTGGGTAATAGGATAAAGGATTGTGTTATGAGCTATGTGATAGTAAGTATAAAAAGAACATATTTGGACTGAAAGATAAATTTATTTCAGATATGTTTAATTTTAGATGCCTATAGGACATCAACATGAAAATGAAATGAAATTAGAAGAGATTGCTTGGGGAAAGCATACAGAGTAAGCAAGCTGTAGGTCAAGGATGAAACTCTGAAGAATGCCTGTATTTTAGGAGCAGCTTAAGAATAAGAGTCCAGTAAAGCTGATGGTAAAGGACTAGTCTAACAGGAGAGTTGGAAAATCAGAAGAGAGCAGAGTCACCATAGCTAGAGAAAGAGAGTTTCACAAGTGAGTGGTGTACAGTGATGCTGCTGTGAATAGCAGGTCTGTGAACTGTTTGCCAGTCTACAAGGAGATATTATGAGTAAAGAGATTATACCACAATGTAATTTAACTGTTTCCTTCATCAACAAAGTCAAGAAAAAAGACTGACAGAACAGTGTACCTGTATCATTAATGATTAAGGCACTGCATAACAACACATAACAGGGTGACCAGCAGACATACAACATTCACTCATATTTTTGGTGAACAAATGAGACCCTAAAACCTACTGGACTTTAATAAACCTAAAGTACCTCACTTTATAATTAAAATTTTCATGGTGGAATACTTTTGTACTTTTTGATGAATCTCCTTTGTTTCTTCTATTTCTTTCTCTCTCTTTCTTCTTTTTTTAATTTACTGGGGTATGACTGACATACAAAAAGCTGTACCCATTTAATGTACACAACTTGATGAGTTTGGAGATAAGCTTATACCTGTGAAACCATCCCCACAATCTATGCCATAAACATATCACCTCCAAAAGTTCCTTCCTCTTTATTTATTATTTTTTCTATTTATTTTAAAATAGTTCCTTTATCCTTAGTTAATAAAGAAGGCTAGAGGTTACTCTCTCCCCCAACAAAGTGTTAATTACCTAGAAAGGTCTATTAACAAAAACAATTCATTCTTCTTCTCTAACCTGGGAAAGGTGTGAAAGATCAAAGAGGCCAACAACATTTGGTTGTTTTGCATGACACTTTACACAGATGAGAAGAATGTAGCTTAATTTACTGAATTTCTCATAGTGGATTTGCAAAAGTTATTCTCTGTACATTTCTTTTTTCTTGTATGAAAGCTGTTTCACTGAATTTTATAAAGTTAAATGTCAAAAGTTCTAGTAAAAAAGTTATGCTTTCTCAGGTACATTTGTCTCTAAATGTAAAACAACAGAGCAAATGAAACTAAGCACCTGAATTTCATCTAATCTCTTCATTCCTGTAAAAATAGTAATAGGAGGTTGGACATGGTGGCTCATGCCTGTAATCCTAGCACTCTGGGAGGCTGAGGCAGGTGGATCACTCAAGGTCAGGAGTTCGAAACCAGCCTGAGCAAGAGCAAGACCCTGTCTCTACTAAAAAAATAGAAAGAAATTAATTGGCCAACTAAAAAATATACAGAAAAATACTAGCCGGGCATGGTGGCACATGCCTCTAGTCCCAGCTACTTTGGAGGCTGAGGCAAAAGGATTGCTTGAGCCCAGGAGTTTGAGGTTGCTGTGAGCTAGGCTGACACCACGGCACTCTAGCCTGGGCAACAAAGTGAGACTCTGTCTCAAAAAAAAAAATAGTAATAGGTAAACTTTTGAATATGTAGAAGAAGAAAATGTCTGTGCTTGGTGTCAAAAGCTACTTGAGCCAACCAAATACAAGCAACCTTCTCTCTCTCATAACTGTAACCATGCAAACACAGCCTGGTATAGTCATAGTGGAAAAAGCCCTGGGCTAATCAAGTGTCCCATATCCTACTTCTTGTTCAACCTTTAACTAGCTGTATAACTCTTGGCAAATTTGTTTCTTCATTTATAAAATGAGAAGATAGGGCTAGATGATTACTAAAGACCTTTCAAAGTATAAAACTCTGATCCTACAAATATGATTAAAATGATGCAGAAATAAATACAATATTGATTAGTCAGTTCTAGGAGAACAAACTCACCAACTAAAAACTAAAGAACAATTTATTCTGACAAGAGTTTTCTCGTATGTCATCAACATCCCCCCCTGTTCTTTTCATCCTCATGCAAATTCAAATTCCTAAGACTTTCCCCAAGACTTATCTATAGATATGGCCAACTAGCTCTACTGCTGCAGCAGATTAAAATAAAGATGCAGCCTGATTCCCAAATATATCAGTAAACTCGCCTGCTTTGTAACCAGGGGTGCCATTCTGATGCTACTGGTATGAATTATTTGTTAACAGAATCCTATGATTAGAGCAGTGCTTCTTAACACAGGCGATTCTGATAATGTCTAGAGACTTTTTTTTTTTTTTGGTCACAACTCAGGGTTCTACTGGCATCTAGTGGGAAGAGGCAAGGGATGTAGCAATACACAGGACAGTCTCCCACAACAATGAATTACCTAGCTCAAAATGTCAGTAGTGCTGAGGTTGAGATATCCTTGCCCAGAGCATAAATTCTAAATATGGAGGAATACGGCTAATCCCCAAGGGATAGACAACTGGTATTTGGGGGAAGCAGGGAAAAAACCTTAACTCTAAGTTAATGAACTTATGTAAACTTTTACATAAATTGTATGTTTATGTACATACAGTTCATAAACAGACATACATCTGTGGTATCAAAATGTCATGAGGGGGGAATATGAAAAAAATGTCTAAAAATAAGGTTCCTTAAGGCAATAATGATAAAAAGTTGAGAAGCACTGGTCTGGAAGTGAGGGGAGTGTAGCAAAATCTCATCATTGCTATAACTGGTTTTAAAAACGATTAAAAGCTTAGTTCATTTTCACAAGTTTGTATGTTAAGTAAAATTAACATCTTAATGAGCACCGCCTCTATGTAGTGGGCACAGTGATAGATGCCTACTTTGTTTCAAATTCTTTATATCATTTCATTTAATCCTCACAATTTTATAAGTCAATCTCCTTAATTTATAGATGAAAACACTGAAAATCAGAGATATTTTCGTGCAAGGTCTTAAGGCTGAAAGGGACAGTGCTGAAATAACTAGAATCCAGGTCTCACTCCAAAGCCCTGATTCTTTCTCCTTCACCATACTGCTTTTCATTGCTATGATATTCAGCAAGGTACTGCACCTAGAACACCTGTAATTATTTAAAACGCTAAACTTCAGCGAAGTAATCAAATAGACACTATATTATCCGGTGAATTTCTCTTTTAAGATCTATCTTAAATAAATAGGGGGTGTTCTTTGCACAGGAGAACAAAGCTCATAAGTCGTAATCCCTGGGATCTGAAAAGACAAAACCGAACCAGCTGAGAGAAGTACTGAGGAATTCTTAGCATCAGTCTTAACATCTTATGTATTTACACTCTGGCCGACCAAGCTCCTGTGAGCCACCCGACTCTTGCTGATACAGAATATACGCTGAGGACCCGCTTCGTCAGTTGCTCAGCGGAGAAGAGGGCAAGAACATCAGGCCTTCAGGCCTGGAGAAGAGGGGATTGTCCTGGGGATCTCACAGACACCACCACTCTCACCTCCAGCAGCCTCTGGGAAGCCAGTCGTCGTGGGCTAGATCCCTCCCCTGGTCTTTTTACTCACTTTTTTGATATTGGATTTGGAGGCGGGATGAAAGTCTTTCTTGCACATGAAGTTGGCGAAGGATTTCCCCATCTTGCAGTTAGAGCTGGGGAAAGCTGCGGCGAGATCTTCAAGCACCGTAAACAAACTCCACCGCCTTACCCGGAACTGCGCTTCCAGCGGCAGCGGGAACTTCCGAGGTCAAAGGTAACAGCTTCCGGCTACCGGCTGCGGTTACTTGCGACTTCTCGCCTTCTCCCCTGTCACTTCAAGTAACTGGGAAGCCAGGTGAGGAGCGTGCATAGTTGAGGTACGACAGAGGAAGACCGGACAGATGCGCAGCGCTGCCTAATTTAGGGGCTCCAGACTCAGCTGCGCCCGCTGCCATTAGAGCGCCGCCGGCTGGGGTGCGGGGTGTACGGCGGCGGCTCTTCTGTGAGAGGTGCTTGAAGTTCGAGCCCGTTATTTTCTGTGGACTCTGACCCGAGTTGCAAAAACTTTTCTGCACTGGTTTTCTTATCTGTGTTATGGAGATGGTCATAGGAATTCTTGCCCTAACTAGTACGTTTGTGAGGATCCAACGATGTGGTATTTCTGACCGCGCTCGGTGGATTAGCAGCGAATAGAATAGAATGACAGCTCCACGGGAGCGGAGGCCCTCTCTATTCTGTTCCTAGTTATTTCCAGCTGCACGGTGCCTGGCTCAGAAAGATGTTCGATACACATTTGTTGAATGACGAATACACATTAGGAATTTGTAAAGGCTCTCAAGGCTTCACCTGCTTAATGAGCTAGGTGCCATTTATAACTAGGCGGCAAGTTTCCTTAGCTTTTCCTACTACCCCAAATTAGACAGCTCAGGTCACCTAGTGCAGCTTCATGTGGCCCTCCGGACTCCAGAGTTTTCAGTGGATGTGGCTGCTACTGCTGTAGGTCATCCACCAACTAAGTCCTCCAGCGGGGTGATGTTAAGAATAAGACATTTGTGAGACATATACTCTTCTACCAAATAATAACAGTAACAGCTTTCATGTGTCTACTATGTTCCAAGTAATTGCAAAACTCTTTGCAAGTACTTGCAAGTAATATGTTGCATATTACTTTGCAAGTAATATGTTGCCTTATTAAGTTCTCATAACAGCCGCATCAAGTAATATATGTTGTTTTACTGATGAGGCAGCAGGCAAAGAGAGAGATCAAACAGCTTGCCGAAATTATGTAGTGATGGAACTAACTTTGGAACACAAATAGAAGGAGGTTCAGGACATAAAGGTTGAAATACACAAAGAAAGGAACATTTACATCCAGTAAAGTAGAAGCAAAAAAAACCCAAACAAAAACAAAACAAAGCAGATATTCTCATCACTGGGGAGAAGAGAAAAACCCTTAGGAGATTCAAGCTGAAATTGTTTGTTTCCTTAGTCATTTTGTATTCTTTTCTTTTGTGAGACAGTGTGTCACTCTTGCCAAGGCTAGAGTGCAGTATAGAGAGCACAGAGTAGCTGGGACTACAGGCATGCACCACCACGCCCCACTAACTTTTCTATTTTTTGTAGAGACAGAGTCTCACTACGTTGCCAAGGCTGGTCTTGAACTCGTGGCCTCAAGCTATCCCCCCAGCTCAGCCTTCCAGAGTGCTAGGATTACAGGTGTGGCCACCACATCTGGCCATTTTCTTTTAAATGAAACATTTACTATATTTAAATTTTGTTTTTAAATTACTAGTATCTGCCTATGTAAAGCCATGTTAAGATTTGGGCATTATTAAATAAAGGAAAGAAGGAAACTATAGAACATTGTGATTCTGAAAGCAAAGTGAAAAGTATAAGACACTTAGGTGTTTTATAAAAACTGAGGATTTGAGATTTTCCAAATTACAGTTGAAGAGATAATCTAAATATTAAATTATACAATTAGGATTTGTAAATTATATATGTGAACTTCCTCCTGGAAATATCAATAATTTGGAATTATATCGACATCTTTTTCTATTTGTCAGGATATGAAGTGAGTCTGTTTCAAATTTCATTCTTATGATCTGTGTGTGTTCTTCCTCAGCTCAAAGGAGACCCTTTCTTCCTTCCTTTGAGGAAATACTACTGGGTACATAAGACAAGATCCAGCAATGAGAATACAAAGATTAATAAGACATACCCCCAGCCCTCAAGGATCTCACTGTCCAGTAAGGGAACTCATATATGTACACAAATATAGTAAAATATACCCTTTACAACAGTAAAGCTATGTACAGGGATCCCCAAATATGGAAATAGTGAAAGGAAATTCAGGGAAGGGTTCATGAGAGAAAGATCTTAGAGAATAAGTTTGAGCTATAGACCAGAAGAAGGTAGTTCTCATTGCTATTTTCTTATTGACTCTTGTAGTACAAGATTGAGGCCCAAATCATATTCTTATTGATTTTTATACTGCAGTATATGAAATTTAAAACTTTAATGAACATCCTTAATTAGATATGGAAATAATATTCCTTGGTCATTGAGTAAACCTCTTGCTTTTTAATATACTAAAAAATGCTTTCTCTTTTTATTTTAAAACTTCTGTACAATTTTTAGTATTTAAAAAAAAATGGAACCTTTTTCCTGTGACACGTTCGTGGCATTACCTCCAACAACAGTTGATAGCAGGATTATTTTTGGAAAAAATTCAGATAGACTCTGCGATGAAGTACAAGAGGTAGTTTATTTTCCTGCTGCAGTTCATAATAACCTGGAAGAACATCTTAAGGTAGGTGAAATACATGTTTTGTTAGTAATATTTTTTTAAGTAATATCATAAACAGTTATTTCTATCATTAGCAATTTGGCAGAGACTACAGAAGTTAAAATTCAAGAATTTAAATTTGAAAAATAATTTGAGTCAGAAATAAACTTTTGGTCTTTTATTTAAATGATTTGGAGGAAATTGAAAGAATAATAATAAAAAGTGTTCAGTCATTAATCAAATATTTGAATACTTTCTATATGCAAGCATGATAGGGCAAGGAATTTAAAGTCAGCAGTCAAGACTTGGACTTGTTCTTCCAGGAGCTTAGAGTCTAGTATAGGAATAGGATATGTATGCAACTATCCCCATTATAAAGGAGGATGGCTTAAATGGTAAATTTAAGTAAGAGCAGGATGTTGTAGCAACAGAAAAGGAACATTTAATTCAAACTGGGGATCAAGGAAGGCTTCATAGGAATTGGGGTTAGCTAGAGTTTGATGGACAAAAAGGATTCTAATTCTGAATTGGTATAGGTTCTGGTGTAGAATAAAATGTCATTCCAGACTCTGTGATAACTATCAACATTCATTTTATGCAGTCACTTGGTAGTATACAAATTAATTAAAAGATCCTTTAAAAATTAATTTTAAAAACACATTTAACATGGAACTTAAAGTGAGAATTTCACATTATGCTTTTGTTGCTAATTTATACTCTTTGGATTTATTTTATTGATATCTAATATTAAAATATATTAAATATTAGATTTTTTTATGTATACTGTGCCTTTTTTTGTTGTTGAAACTGTTCATCTAGGATACCATTTTCACTTTATAACTTCATATTTAAATGTAGCCTATCCTATAAACCAGTGATTCTCATTCTTTTAATTGCTATGGACATACCTGATAGATGACTTTGACATGTGACATGGATTCTATGGCAATACTCTTGTATTTAAGGGCTACCATATGGGTACTTATATCACTAATCAAGAAACACAGGCACAGCTGGGCATGGTGGCTCACAGCTGGGCATGGTGGCTCACACCTGTAATCCTAGCACTCTGAGAGGCCGAGGTGGGCAGATTGCTCGAGGTTAGGAGTTTGAAACCAGCCTGAGTGAGACCCTGTCTCTACTAAAAATAGAAAAGAAATTAATTGACCAACTAAAAATACATATAAAAAAAAATTAGCTGGGCATGGTGGCGCATGCCTGTAGTCCCAGCTACTCAGGAGGCTGAGGCAGTAGGATCACTTGAGCCCAGGAGTTTGAGGTTGCTGTGAGCTAGGCTGATGCCACGGTACTCACTCTAGCCTGGGCTGTAACAAAGCAAGACTCTGTCTCAAAAAAAAAAAAAAAAAAAAAGAAAGAAAGAAACACAGGCACTGAAGTTGAGAACTGCTTCCTTAAGCTTCAATTCACATACATCTTCCTCTACAAAAAATGTTTTAGGATATCACAAGTATAATAGAAACCATCTCTTTCCTGAGCTTCTTTCTTTAGCACCCTATCTTTATTTCACTTCACGGCCCTTGTACTTTATATTTTGTTGTATCTTAGTTAATGTGCACAAGTCTTAGTTTCTTGAAAGCAAGATTTGTATCTGATTCATTTTTCTCTTGGCAGAGTGCTTTATAATAAGAGATGCTCAGCAAAGGGTCAATTCTGAATATGTTTTAAGGGTAATGACTTTATTAGTGAAAATTTCTATTAAGTTACATTTCACTTCTTTCATAATGATCATGTCTTCTGCTTGATTTTTTTAAATTCTGGATTTTGATAACTTTTTTGGTTTTGTGATTCTTGCTGTGACTTTTTTTTTTTTTTTACAGTGTACTTATATAGAAATTGATCAAGTTCCTGAAACATATGCTGTTGTCCTTAGTCGCCCAGCATGGTTGTGGGGGGCAGAAATGGGAGCCAATGAGCATGGAGTTTGCATTGGGAATGAAGCTGTATGGGGAAGAGAAGAAGTTTGTAATGAAGAAGCACTACTTGGCATGGACCTTGTCAGGTTATTTTTCTATTATATTTTGTACTATAGAACTTGTCTAAATTTAAAATTTTGGTATAACTCATGCCTGTTTCATTTTCCTATTTCTTCTTTTTTTTTACTTTGATATTTTATAGTTTGTGTCAAAAATGCTTAGGAATATCAGCATGCAATTCATGACTCTCGGATACTATTAATTAGGAAAAGGGAGGAGTTGGAAATTATGATTCATTGGAAGTACCTAATGTACTTTGTATCACACCTTAACTAATTCTCATGATAACTTCATGCATTATTACACTCATTTTACAAATGAGATACCTGAGGTTCAGAGATAAAATAACTTGCCAATAAATTAGCAAGTTGGAATTTGAACATTTGACTCTAGAAACTTTGTTTTCATGATTCTAAACTGACTTCAGAAGGAAAAGTTTAAAAGTTAGGTTTCATTTTATCTGTTAACTTGAA